GGAGGCCAGGCGGTTCCCAGGGCTGGGTGCGCATCCCCCCACCCCCACCCCGCGGGAAAGGGGAGGGGATCCTGGGACGCCAGCGTTCTGCCCCCCACCCCGAGTGAGAGCAAGCAGGGGGGGGAGTGAGGCCCAGGGGATTGGGCTGGAGGCCTGAAGCCTGGGTCCTCTGGGAGTGGGCAGAGTGGGGGCTGGCGGGTGAGAGCAGGGGGCTGTGGGAGCCGGGATGCCTGGCTTCTCTGGGCGGGGAGTGTGGCCTGGAGAGGGGATCCTGGGACGCCAGCGTTCTGCCCCCCACCCCGAGTGAGAGCAAGCAGGGGGGGGAGTGAGGCCCAGGGGATTGGGCTGGAGGCCTGAAGCCTGGGTCCTCTGGGAGTGGGCAGAGTGGGGGCTGGCGGGTGAGAGCAGGGGGCTGTGGGAGCCGGGATGCCTGGCTTCTCTGGGCGGGGAGTGTGGCCTGGAGGCTGAGAGCAGAGGTGGGGTGGGAGCCCAGACACCTGGGTTCTCTCTGCTCCGGGAGCAGAGCAGGGTCTGGGGACCCCCATCACCCACCTGGGCACGGGCCAGGCTCCGCCGACCCAGACGCAGGCAGACTGGAAGAGACCCAAGGGTGACAGGGTGAGTGGGGAGCAGAGGAGACAGGACCTCCCCTCCACCCTCACCCCTCTGGACCCCTGTGGCCCTGCAATGCAGCCAGCTCTGGGGGGGTAGCAGCGGGGTGGGGTTGGCTGAGAGGGCCCTGGGGCTGGTACCTCCCAGATTGGGCCCGTAGTGGGCAAGACCCCTCCCCACCCCATTACCTGCCAGGCCAGTGCCCAGGGTGAGGGCACCCAGTAGGACCATCTTCAGCAGGCTGAGAGCGGCCAGCAGCACCAGCAAGTCCTGGCACAGCACCCGGGGGTCTATGGCAGGGTGGGGTCAGCACCTGGACCCCTGGGTGCTGTCCCACTGGGACTGGCTGGAGCAGGCAGGGGCAGGGACTCAGGACACCTGGGTCCCTTCCTAGTGCTGGGAGGGCCTAGTGGGAGGGGAGGGGGGCAGGGCAGGGCAGGGCAGGGTGGGACTAGGAGCCTGGACGCCTGGGTCCCATAACAGCTCGT